TATATATATATATATATATATATATATATATATATATATATATATATATGCATATAAATGTATAATAATATTTATAAATAAAAAAGAAAAAAATAAAATAAATAAAACAACAAAAATATTAAATTTTTATAAACAAAGAAGAAAATATTCATCTCTTGATTTGGGGTGTATGCTGAGGTGTATATGCAGCGGCTGCTGCTGCAGTATTAGGGTCATTTGTGGTGTATTTTCGTCGTTTTTGGGTTTAATTTTATTAATTTTATATATTATTATCCTTTTATTTCTTTAAAACGGAGAAAAAACAATTAAAAACACCAGAAATATACACGCATGCTGGGGTGTACAGGCAGCTCGTGACCAGTGGTAGCCCCATCGGCTCTCTCTGCAGCAATCGGTGGTTTTTGTGTTTAAAAAAAGAGAAAATAAAAAATTAATTTGTTTGTTTAGTTTAATTTTGTCTTTTTTTATTATATATTACATAAAATAAATGTTTATTTGGCTTATTTCCCCTCTATTCTCTCTCTATACACCCATCACCGCAGGACCCCCTCCTACTCTTACTATAAAGCAAACCCTAAACCCTAAACCCTAAACCCTAAACCCTTTTTCTTCAATCTTCTTCAGTCTTTCATACAAATATATTCTCGTATATTCTTCTCTCACAAAGCAAGGTTTATGTTTAAGGGTTTAGGGTTTAGGGTTTAGGGTTTAGGGTTTAGGGTTTGGGGCTTGTACCTCAATGAGCTGCTGCTGCCTCTTATGTTTCTCTTCTTCTGCGTAGTTTTCTTTTCTTAGAGAGTTTATATCATCCAGCTAGCTAGCCAGCTAGCTAGCTAGCTAGCTAGCTGGCTAGCTAGCTGTATCTGAATCCCTCTCTATCGCATTGCTTCCTGGGGGCCCCTGGGGGCCCCCCTTCTTCTGTCTCTACCCCTCCTAGCTGCACACACAAACGCATGCATCTTCTCCTTCTCCTCAGCTCAATCATTTCAACAAACAAACTAACAAACTGCAGCAGCAGCAGCAGCAGCAGCAGCAGCAGTAGCAGCAGCAGCAGCAGCAGAAGCAGCAGCACAAGAAGCAACAGCAACGGCAACTGCAGCATCGACAAAC